TAATGTCACAGAGGTCAATCTACCTCTGCCCCTTGAAGTCTCAGAGGTCAATTTACCTCTGCCTCCCAGGCATTGGGATTAAAGGTGTGTACTACCACACCCAACTACTCTCTTTCTTTCTTTTTAACTTTAAGAACTTTAACTTTTAGCCTGATATATTTTTAACACACTGTAAACCATTAAGAGGCTTTCTTTGTCTTTGAATCTTTCTTTACTGTATATTTCTCTTTTTCTGACCACATGAGCCTTTAATTTACTATGCAATATGGAAAGCTGTGGCTTTGACAGATGGATCCAGCCCATTCCTTAGCTTTCCAGCCTCATGGCAGAAGTACCACTGGAGTCATGTTTATTGCCTCAACTCTGTGCTATTTCAAGTTCCCTCCCAGCAAGCAAGCTGTAGCATTCTGCTCACAGACCACATTCAAATCCTCCATAGTCGGACTGCCTGACTGAAAGAGACAGAGTTTGCCCTGGCAGGATGGCCCAGAAAGCCAGTATTTTAATACAATGCAGCTTTTCTCCTGCTATGGCTGAAAAGTGAAAAGCATGCGTTCAGCTTTTCATCAACATCGTTTAAGTGTTTCGTGGAAGGACCTCTTAAAGAGCTGAAGGGTTTTGCAGCTAAAGCTGAATCAGGAAGCCTCTCTTAGATGAGAGCGCTTGCTTGCCTCTAGCAAGCAGAGCAGACCTGAGAAATTGCTGCCACCAAGAAAACATGATTTACTCTATTCTTTCCCAAGCTTTCTCAAGCTTTCTGTGAATTCAGTTATCCATGTGGGTGCCATCTGTAGCATGAGGGCAGGCTTACACCACTCAGTGGTTACGAGCACTGGATTCTCTTGAAGATGGACTTGGGTTCAATTCCCAATACCCACAAGGTGGCTCACAATGGTCTGTAACTCCAATGTAAGAATTTTTGTTACATTCTAGCTAACACAGGTATCAGACATGTATTTAGTTCACAAATAAACATTCAGCCAAAACACCCATACACATAAATGTTTTCCTTAAATATCTAATTCCCTTGTTGCAGAAGTGGGGATCTACAGCAAAAGAACTTACTCAAGGTGACTCTCTCTCTCTCTGTGTGTGTGTGTGTGTGTGTATGTGTGTGTGTATGTTTGTATATAAAAGTCAAAAGATTCCACAATATTATATCAACCCTGAGACTTCATAACAAATGCAATGTGTCAAGCACATATTACAACTTACTTCAAGTCAAATCTACAAAAAAAGAGGGTAGCAAAAGGAAACATGCAAGTTTTTCACATGAGAATCTGCACACACACACACACACACACACAGAGAGAGAGAGAGAGAGAGAGAGAGAGAGAGAGAGAGAGAAATCCTAGGCAAAATAATAGCAAAGCAAATCCAGTAACAGTGGTCCAAAGATGATACTCTGTGATAAGCTGTACTCAACCCAAACTCAAGAATGCTTAGCACAGAAAACAGTACAGATATCAGCTGTCATATTCACATTGAAAGATAATGTTACAGGCTGACAAGATAGCTCAAGGGTAAAGTCACCTGTCTCCAACTCTCACCATCTGTCCAGTATCCATCAGATGGAATGAGGGAATTGATTCGCTTAAGCTGTCATCTGGTTTCCACAGCCCACATACATACACATTCACATATACATAAGGAAGAATGAAATAAATATGTTTGTAAAGAATTAAGGGAGCTGAAGAGATGGCTCAGCATGCAGAGATCTTGCTGGTTATACAGATGACCTGAATTTTAAACTCAGCACCTATGTCACGTGGCTCATAGTTACTATAATGCCAGTTTAATACTGCTCTCTCTCTCTCTCTCTCTCTCTCTCTCTCTCTCTCTGCCACACACACACACACACACACACACACACACAGACACTCATGAACAATCATGCACACTCACACAATGCACTCATGCATGAATGCACACACAGAAAACACAGCACACACTCACATAGTACACACAACACCCTATCTCTCTCACAAGTACAACACTAGTCATGGTTCATTGAAAAATAAGGATAAAGTCATATCTTCCCAGCAGTTCTGTAAATAAATATAATAGCAAACTACTATGTGTGTATACAAACAATTAAACTGTTATCTCCTCAACCAAAGAAACTATCCTCAAATATAAAGAAAACATTCTTTTTTTCATTTTCTTGAGAGTTTTATAATGAGTATTGTATTTACATCAATTCCATTGTACTCTCTCCTCCCTCTGACTCCTCCCATTAACTCTCCCCTCTCAACTTCATGACTCCATCTTGCTAAGATTACCTAGTGATGTTCATGTGTACATTAATTTAGGGATGATCACTTTCAGGTGTGTCAACACACAGCCCACAAACTACAAACATTCAACGGCAACTCTGAATTCATCTCCACTATCATAAACTTTAAACTTATAAATTTTATAAGTTTGGGGTTTGGGAAAAATATAATTTCCTGTAGCTCAATTTTTGATCATAAGTCATGGATTTTGTAGGCGACAATGTTGTCAAACAATCAAAAAGCTGGACTCAAATGCACTGCTTGATACTTTCACAATTAACACATCCATCTTGTTTCTATGGATCTCTCCCACCCAGAAACTTTTCAAAGCTGACCCATCATTTTAACAGAAAGTCTCTCAGTTGACTTTTCTGTCAAAGCTTGTCAGTATTTCACAAGTCCATCATGTCATGTCATGCCAGAATAATCAGGAGGCAAAGTTTGAAAATCACTGATGAAAATAAATATTTGCTCTACCTCCCTATTCTGCTTGAACTCAACTAATATCAAGGTAGCCAGGGACAGGGGAAATGAGTGTATCCAGAAGGTCATTTACCCAGGATGAACTGGGTTCATGAGCTAAAAATCTAGATCATTAATTAAGACAAGGTATCTCTTGGTAATTAACAAATAAATAATCAGCCATAGAAAGTCAGTAAATACCAATCACTTGTTATATTTTCTTTAAACTATGTTTCTTTTTATTGGAGAATCATTTCATGGTGCATGTTGAGGTCAGAAAACAATGTTGAGGAGTTGTTTATTGATGTTTGCCAAGTGATCCCCAGGGACAGATCAAGTCCCTAAGTTTGACAGCAATTATCTTTACCACTGAGACATATCACCACCCCTACACTTATTAATACAGCAAAATTATGTAATAACATAACTGTCCCAGGTAGTTGTCTTAATTAGGGTTTCTCTACTGACCCAACCCTTATCAGAAAAGTGTCTTCTTGTAGTAGACTGTAATTAACAAGAAAACCTACAACTTGTAACATGAAGTGAGGAAGAGGCTTTGAAATGCTAGGCTCTGCTCAGGATGTCTATGTCACACCTCTTCCCTCAAGGCACAGGGATCCATATGGAATAGAAGGCAGAAAGAGTCTAAGAGCCAGAGGTAGTGAATGACTTCAAGGAAACAGCATTTTCAGACACAGCATGGCAGCTACACATATGAACTCTCAGATACTGTGGCCCAATTCACAAAAAGTGCAAAAGCTCAAACCAGACAAAATCTTAGTGCAAAGAAGCCGAGAGTCCTACACATAGCCAAGCAGATATTGTCAACTGGTAGTTCCTGAGAGAATGAAGGCCAGTTTTCTTCAATGAGGTGACAGTGGGTTAGTCAACTACAGTCCAGGACAGGCCTCACACTCAAGAATTTTTATCTAGCATGTACTGGACTCCACAGTATGTTTTGTTTAGTTTTGTTTTGAAATAGTAGGAGACAATATAAAGCTGGGTAGGAAGGGAGATGGCAAAAGATCTGAGAGGAGTTAGAGGAAAGGGATTATTATGACCAAAATACATTGTAAGCTCAAAAAGCATATAAAATGTGTTTAAATTGGATTTTTTGGTCTTTAAGAGAATTTTAAACTTTAATAGCATTATCATTTATACAAAGATCATATATGAAGATATTAAAGGCATTTATTTTACTTAGTAATATAATGGACTTGGGAAATATTTAACAAGCATTAATATTTATTATAAGGCTAGCAATGACTATTGTCAACATGCCAAATTTTCATAGGGCCTTTTATTGCTTTTACTGAGAAAGGATGATGAGGGGTTTTGTAAACAGTCTCTCTTATGCCACAAGTGTTTGATCTACTCTTCTACCAGAGTTTTGATGACAATATCCTTTCTAATGACTGTGGTTATTTTGATTGACAATTATCAAGAAGGTGGAGAATCAACTACTTGTTTTTTTTAAGATTGGAGAGCTTAGGTTTATGAATCTCATTAATCACAGTCTCAGAAATCCATAAAAAGGTCAGCTTTGTAGACCAGGGTTCTTAGTTAAGTGTTTATGTTTTTATACAAAAGCATTTTCCAAGTGGCCACATGGTCTTAATAATTAGAAATTTAACTGCTCTGGATAATGTTGCTTGGCACAGAGGGGCTATAACTTGAATACACTATTGCCTGACTGCCAGTTATAAAGTTTTTTCCATATCTTTTTTAATTGGGTTTTTAACAGAGATGTTAATTTATATTTTCCGTGTAACATTGGTGTGTTATTTCAGTGTAACATTAGGAGCCAGAATATATGATAGCAATTTTACAACTAGAGGTGTTACAATAGTTCACATTTTAATTAAAATTTATTGATCAAATTACAGAGACCTGATTACTCTCCAAAGAACTCAAAAGAAATTGATGGAGATGATCTGATGTAGATGGAGATGGTCTCAGGAAGACTAGAGAAGATGAATTTCTTATTCTCTCTGCTGACTTAGCTAATTTCTTTACATTAGATTGCACTGTGTATTGACAATGAGAAAGCTCAGTGGATTCACTGAATCCTTAACCATACACCAATTCCAGTTGATTAACCTTAATCTTGATCTGGGTTTTATTCATAAAGTAACTTAAAGATTCCAATGTTCTGAGACACCACCTGAAGAGGAACACTGCAGACTCCTTGAGGGAAAGTCACGCTCCAGTTATCACATCTCGTGGTACAACCTTTAGAACAATGGGTTTTTCTGGCTGAAGAAGTGGTTTTCTGTATAATTTCAAGGGAATCTGCAACAGTGGAAATAATATTAAAAATCAATGAGTAAGCCAACAACAACCTGTAAAGAAAAGTGAAAAACATTCAGGATGGTGATGCTTTGCAGGTACCTCTAAGCTACATTTGAGGCCATATGCTTGGACTTCCTTATCCTCTAAGCTGTATCCATTAGATGGTGAAAGCATGCTTGCAAATATGCATAAGGCAATACATTTATTGAGACACTACTGTATACAGGGTCTGAGATGAAGTCATATCAGTTTATATTATTTCTGTTCTATGCTACTTTGGGGTAAAACTGTTGAATATCAATTTTGTTTTTGTTTTTCCTGACAGGTTCTCACTTTGTAGCTGTGACTGTCCTGCAACTCACTATGTAGACTAGGCTTGCCTTAACTCACAAAGATCTAACTGCTTTTGCCTCCTGAGTGCTGGAACTAAATGCAATCATCACTAAGTCCAGTCAGTAGAACATATTTGAGCCTGATTCTTAGTTACTATGTCATATTGTTTTTCTTAAGTCCTGAAAAGTTATTTTGGTTATTTTGGTTTGTATCCTGAGAAGATACATTTCACCTCTATGAACAGTCGTCACACATGTCACTAGCACAGTTGAGTCAATTCTGGACACATCTTTAGGAGGACAGATATTTGCTTGCCTTTTGGCATCTTTTTGTAGCTTTCAAAGATGGGATGAATGAAAAATTCTGAGTCCTACAGTGTTTTCAGTGATGGTTTAGCATCATGCTATTCAGTGATGGGGGGAATGGCAGAGTAATCTTTTGGTCACAGGAGAAGGGAGGGGGAACAAAGTTGTCATGGAGATAGAGAGGTGTGAAATTTAAGATGACTGGAGCTTACCAGAGCATCTGCCATTGACAGGTGTGCCATTGGCTCTGAAAACTTGAACCTTGCTTTGTCCATTTTAATCTCTGTACATGTCTATGGCTTAAATGCTTTAGTGAGAAAGTAGTAAAAGAAGTGGGGTTGTGAGTTGATAAATATACATGACTGCCTTGAACCAGAAATTACAGAATAAATATTACTATCCCTCTATTCATCCAATAAAACTATTTGCCAAAGAGAAGCCACATTCTAAATACACAAGTACCATAAATTTCAGCCATCTCTTTGCATGAAACAGGAACAAGTTGTTTAGAAAATGTAAATGCTTTCTCTAAATGTTCCATCTCATTTTTTAAAAAATTTTAAGTAGTATACATGTGTTTTCTATGGAGGCATAAAAAAGAGATATAGATAAAATATATACACAAGTGTGATCTGTCATTTTTAATTAGTTTTAATTTTTGTGAAATAATATTATAATTGTAGGTTCAATTCGAAACATTTACCAAAGGCTTTCAATGCACAAATTCTCCACAAAGGACCACTGGAGTTTGTTGAAGAAATGATATGAGGTGATATAGAAAAGATATGGGATATCCTTTAATACTGAGAAAACAAACACAACCAGACTGGCGGATTTAATGACAAAGTATTAGAACAGGTAATAAATACAGCCTGCAGAAGACAAAAGCAGAGTAACAAGGTCATAAACCAAAGAGGAAGATTCATTTGGGGAATGAACAAGAATTTGAAGTATGAGAACACAGTATGTAGGGGATAAAGGCTATACTATTTATGGAAACATAACAACTACTTGTTTCCTGAAGCAGAGGTCCTGAGGAGTGAGGCAAAACCATAAAGATGCCCTATAAGGTCAGAGTTCATCATAACCAGCAGCTTTGCAAATATTTATTTATTTTTATTGCATGTATAGGAGTGTTTTACATAGTGTGTATATATGTGCAGTCTCAATGGAAGTCAGAGAAGATCATAAGAGGCCTTGGAAATGCAGTTATAAATGATTGTTAGGCACCATGTGGGTGCTTAGAATTAAACTCAGATCCTTTATAAGAGAAACTTATGCTCTAAAACACTAAGCCATCTCTTGAGCCCTAGCAATTGTGTTTTAAAATAATGACTCCCAACATGGCATCACATGGGAAGTCAGAGACGAGCTTTTAAAGCTAAAAAATATTTTAGGATTTCAGAAATAACCAGGAAGCATGAGTTTCCATTTTTGCTTTTGATATGGGGTGTCATGTAGCTTCTGCTGGCTTCAAATTCACTACACAGCCAAGGATTACTTAAATTTATGGTCATATTTCCTCTACTTCCTGAGTACAGGGACTGCAAGTATGTTTCACCATAGCTACTGCCACAGTTCTTGGGATGGGAATCAGGGTTTTGTGCATGTGAGGTAAGCACTTTTCTATTTGAGAAACATCTCAGATATCATATATTGTTGACAGGACTCTCAGAGGAGGGCTTCTGAGAGTTCTGAAAGAAGAGTTCACCACCCAACAAACATGAAAACCTAATCACTGAACCTCTTCAGGGCACATGACATACCCAATCTCCAATATACATGATTGGAAAATCAAATAGAATGCACATAATCCTGTCATACTGCCTGCACTAACTCTTCATAATGCTACAGTTGTACTCTATACTTACAAAGAACCAATGGCCCTTTAACTCTCCACAAACAACTCATTAGGCCATAAAATGAATTAGCAAACCTCTAAGAATCAGATTAGTTTTTATATACAGAAGCTTCAATTGAAAAATATCTCCCATACAAAATTATTTACAGAGATAGGGTTTTTCCCTCACCTGTGTTTCCTTACAAGACTGGAACGAGAAGTTCTGCAGGATTTTAGTGAGAGCAAGTTTCATGTTCATCAGAGCAAATCTCATGCCAATGCAGTTTCTGGGTCCATTCCCAAAAGGCATGTATACATAAGGATTGATGCTGCTTTTGTTCTCCTTGCTGAACCTGGAGACACACAGTAATGACAAGTTAGCAAACAATAAAAGTGTAAGAACTACATACATGAAGTTGCCTCTACACATCTAACCAGTAACATATAGGTAGTTTGGGAAAGGTTCATTGAACTTCTGCTTCCAGGTATTTAGTTCCGAGAACTGTACACTAAAAGTACTTTCTGTCCCCTTGTCCTATAAGACTTTCCATATGATAGATGAGACAAATGCTGTTTGAGAGAAAAAGCAACCTATGTGTCCAGTAATACAATAGTGGTGTTATGGGATAGCCGTAACGAACTATTATCTTATTGCATTGGACTTCCCATTTATAGAGGGAGTTAATGCCTAGTACTGTAAATCTGATAAAACTCCAAAGGCTAGTGAGGACCTAGGCTCTAGGGAGAATGTACTACTGTTATTTCACTAAGTGTACATGGTATCAATCTGCTCTCTATATATTTATGTTTATACGCACAAATTAGTGCTGCTCTTAGTCTTGGTCAGAGATGCTCCTGAGGGCAGTGGAAACCAGTTAACACAGAGACTCGTAACTGGTCAAATTTCTGAGAATGAGTGATTATGTAGCACTCAGCGCTTAATGGAATATCTATATTATCCCCTCGAGGGCGCAAGGAATGCCTCAGAAGAGGAGCAGAATGATGTAAGAGCCAGGGAATGTAAAGGATGCTGTGAAACACTATATTCTGGACCTGACACCGCCATTGTCCTCATGAACTCCATGCACCTCTGGTTGTCTGCACAAGGCTGGACCATGTTGATACATTCCATCATGGATGGGGGGAAGAGTTCCTGAAGTGCCATTTCCCTAAAGAGCTACTGACAACTAATGGTTCCTGGGGTAATTGGAATACTTTCTTCAGTTGTGCAGCTACTGGTGACTTGTCCATTTGCCAATAAATCACTCCTATACCTACATTTACAAAGCAACCCTAATTAAATCCATGAGTTACACGAAAAGAGAAAGACATGAAAAAGGAAGGAAGACTTGATGGGGACATGTAGGGATTCAAGAAGTGTATCAGATAGAAGAGACAGGACAATGTGATGTGAAAATGACCAAAATATATTACACATACATGCAATTGTCAAAGAATAAAGAATTATTTATTTTTTAATTCAATTGTCAAAGAAAGGCAGAGGGATTTAACTCTGAAATCCAAAAGTTTCCTCATGATAATGCTGGGTTGCATCTCTGAAAAGCACATGTCAGTTAGACTGAAGGAAAGTGGGTTCCTGCCTCACAGTTCAGTTGATCATTTGTTACTTGAGTAAAGATGAGAAAAATATTCTGTATTTAAATTCTCATCTTTTCTTATTGTGTCTCTTTCCCTCTCCTCTTTTTTCTTCCCTTTCTCTGTCATTCTCCTCAGAGAATACAAGAGGATATAAAAATCACATTTAGACCATCTTCCCATAAAAGACACCATAGCATATATAGCACAAGATATTTCAGAGTAGATACCCACTCATGGGATTCTAGTACCTTTCAGGGTGGAATTCCTTGGGGTCTGGCCAGTACTGTGGGTCACGGTGAAGAACATAAAGTGGTATCATCACTGCGGAGTCTTTGGGAATAAACACACCATCAATTTCCACATCTTGTTTACAGATTCTCTCAAGTCTGTTAGAAATTGGGTATAATCTAAGGGTTTCATTCAGCACCATGTCAAGGTACTCCATCTCCATCACTTTATCGTAACTGGGAGGTGCCTGGGAAAAAGAAAAAGGAAAAGAAAAGAATTTTAGATTAACTTTAAATTGGTCTGCATGGAATTTATGAGTTCTCATTAGCTCCAAAGTTAGACTCAGTATAGCAAAGGTCCTAGGTACTTACAACACTTTTAAAAGGGTTTTTAAATTGTTTTAATTTAGTATAGGTGTTTTGCCTACATATGTTTTTTTAAATTTTTTAATTTTTATTGAGCCCTAAATTTTTCTCTGCTCCCCTCCCCACCCTACTCCTCAACCCTCTCCCAAGGTCCCCATGCTTCAAATTTACTCGGGAGATCTTGTCTTTTTCTACTACCCACATAGATTAGATCTATGTATGTCTCTCCTAGGGTCCTCATTGTTGTCTAGGCTTTCTGGGATTGTGATTTGTGGGATGGTTCTCTTTGATTTATGTTTAAAAGCCACTTATGAGTGAGTACATGTGATAATTGTCTTTCTGTGTCTGGGCTACCTCACTCAAAATGATGTTTTCTAGCTCCATCAATTTGCCTGCAAAATTCAAGATATCATTATTTTTTCTGCTGTGTGATACTCCATTGTACAAATGTACCACATTTTTCTTATACATTCTTCAGCTGAGGAGAATTTAGGTTGTTTCCCGATTCTGGCTATGACAATGCTGCTATGAACATAGCTGAGCACATGTCCTTGTGGCATGGCTTAACATCTTTTGGATATATACCCAACAGTAGTATTACTGTATCTTGAGGAAGGTTGTTTTCTAATTTTCTAATAAATCACCACACTGACATCCAAAGGGGCTGTACCAGCTTTCATTCCCCCCAGCAATGTAGGAGTGTTCCCTTTACTCCACAACCTCTCCAGTATAAGTTGTCATCAGCCTACATATGTTTTTGTGCACCACATGAGTGCAGTGCCCACAGAAGTCAGAAGAGGGCATCATATCCTTTCTGACTGGTATGACAGATATTTGAGGGCTACCATATCTGGTACTGGGAATCAAACCTGAATTGAACTTCTAAAAAACAGCCAGTGCTCTTGACCATTGAGCCATCTATCCAGTCTCTTCCAGAGTGGTTAGAGTAACTATCACTTGGGCCTTAAAGTGTCTCAATTAGTAAGCTGGCTAGTATGCAAGCCTAAGTTTAGATACACATCATTCATAAAGACAGATATAGTAGCTCACATCTATAATTCTAGCAGAGGGGTGGGACAGAGACAGGGCATGTCTGTTGATCATTGGCCAGACTTCATAGCCAAATTGATGAACTCCAGGTTCAGTTTGAAAGCCTGTCTCAAAAAACATGGTGGAGAGTGATTTAGAAAAATTCCTACTGTAGGTCTATGATCTATAACCCCCCATACACATACCACTGTGGTTGATGAGAAGGTGTCTCTTTTTCCTCATAGTCTAAACACTAACTATTCACCTTATTGGGCAGAGCCACATCGATCTCCTCCTGAAGCTTCTTCTGCATATCAGGGTGAGTGGCCAGTAAATACAGGGTGAAGGCAAGTGTGCTGCTTGTGGTTTCATAGCCAGCAAAAATAAACATAATTGACTGGGCCAGCATCTCTATGTCAGATAGAGCTGAAAGTAAGAAAACATTTCAGAAAGTTGGGTAGGATGTACCAACATAAAAAAAGATGACAGGAAAATCAAATGATGTTCCTGTTTCCCTAGAGAGAAATATGGAGAAGCCACTCAGTCACTCTGTGACTGTTATCACCCTGACATCCATGTGACAGCCAGAGAACAAAAAGATTGATTGAGCCAGGATGTCCCATGGTTTATGCTATGTTCATAAACCATCACCATCAGTGCACAACTTTAAGAAATGTAATTTACTATTTTTAGGATTTATTTTTATTTACTTATAATTGTGTGTATAGGGGTTCTGTGTATGGAGGGGTGTCCATGGAATCCAGAAGAGGGTATTTGATCCCCTAGAGATAAAGTTTTAGAAGGTTGTGAACTTTCAGAGGTAGGTCCTGGGTACTGAACTTTAGTCCTCCATTAGAGCTTAAGATTTTTAATTTTTATTTGTTTGTTTATGTGAACTCACATGTGTACAAGTGCCCGGGGAGAAAGGAAGATGGCTTTGGAGCCCACGAGCTGGAGTTACAGGCAGTTGTAAACCTTTTGCCATTAGTGCTGTGACTCTTTTGTTGGTAAAGTTTTTCCAATTTAGTGTAAATCCTTGCTACTAAATTGAAACTGGAATATAAACCCACAATCAGCGGATATTTTAAAAATTGATATCTGTTTCAGCAATCAAAATTGAAACAGAAGGGCTGAGGATATGTAGCTCCATAGGTGGAGAGCAAACATGGCATGCATAAAGTCATGGGTTGAATCTCCATCACTGAATAAACTAAGCATGATAATATAGAAGTTAAAAGGTCATCCTCAGGCACACCCTGAATGTGGGGACAGCCTGGGCTAAATGAGACCCTGTTTCAAAAGGAGGAGGAGAAAGGATAGATCAATTTGAAGTTAGCTGATCATGTGAAAGGGCTTCATGTGGATAAACTGGAGAGAATTCAAACACAAAATGCATGATGACTTTGAAAAGCAAATTTGGGGATCTAAAAGATCATATTGCTATACACAAACAATTGTATGTATTAGAAATAACAAAATAAGTAAAAGTGGAAGACTCCCTTTACATTAGCTACTTATAAACATATGTAGAATAAAGTCTATAATTTAGCAACCTTGATAGTAATGATGCTTTTAAATTAAAACTTAAACATAAATGAGAGGCTAGAGAAATGACTCAATAGGTAAGAGAATTTGCTTCACGAGCATGAGGACCTGAGTTTGAACCCTCACAGTGCTCATGTCAAAAATCAAATGTGGTAATAAAACCATGTAAACCCAACTCTTAGATCATAGGGACCTGCTGACTGCCAGACTGGCTACAGGTTTAATGAGAGACTTAGTCTGGAAATAGACAAAGTTTGGTGATGTGGGAGAATTGTCTGTATTCTGTCAATCATGTATTTTAATAAAAGGCTGATTGGCCAGGCAGAAAGTATAGGCGGGTCAACCAGACAGGAAGTAGAGGCGGGGCAATGAGAATAGGATAAGGCTAGGGAGGAGACAGCTCCCTGAGCCACTCTGTGCAGACCACTGAAGAGGCAGCATGTAACTTGCCCAGCTGAGAAAGGTACAGAACCATGTGGCTAATGCAGATAAGGATAATGGGGTAACATAAGTTATAAGGACTAACAAGAAGCCTGACCTAATGGGCCAATCAGTTTATAACCTTATGGAGTTCTGTGTGATTGATTTTCTCTGGGACTTGCCGGCTGTAGGGTACTGGGCAGGAACAGAACCCCAACAAGCCGGCCCTCATGTTACAGTTTGATTGAGGAAAACACTTGGTGACTTCTTCAGGAATCCATACACACATAGAGGTATACACATGTAAACACACTCAGGCACACACATGCATATGCTACCTTAAGAAGATAAAAATATAAAAGTAATTTTAAGTGTTTAAAAGAATGAAGAGAACCAGTGTATTTGTACAAGCAGGCTTTCCCAAGAGTCCACTTATTTAACACATAAACGTAAATCTTTACTAGAGATTCATGTAGAGAACACATGTATACAAGGAGCTCCAGAAAGTATAAGTACCATTTGGGTACATGCCTCCTGACTGGATGTTTAGACTCAAATGTCTAGGCAGAGCTCCCAGTTAGTATGCTAGGAAAGACAGAAATAGCACCTGTGTAGACCTAGGTGACACACAGAGACCATTAAAGACTTCCATTATGGCTACCCTTTATGGTTGGAACAAACTGGTGTCCATGTGCTTCTAGAAAATTCCATGTATATAATAGCCAGGTCCTTTCAGTAACCCAACAGATGTATTCTTCTGCTAAACAACCTTCCCACACATTTTCTGAGCAACCTGACTACTCCCCAAGGGCTTCCTTGTTCATAGACCAGGGAGTCCTTGGTTACCTTTATGAGACTCTTTGTCTTTGAAATTGATATGAGAGTTCATCATCAGCTGAAGAAAATCCACTCGGTACTGAAAGAAAAAGAGAAGTTGAAAAAAAATAGAAGGTCAATGGTGAGGTCAGAGGTCAGAGGTGGATCAGAAGTGCAAAAGCTTGACCTTCTTTCTGATAATGTAGCTCCCTTAAATTCATAAACATGGTTAGTGTTGCTTGAGTTATCATAGAACAAAAGCACCAGTGGTTAAGCCAGGAAGCAATCCAGTTACCCTATCAACCACTTTTACAATAAATTACAACAGATACAATTTTAAACAATAACAGTGACTTTTTTTTTGAAAATTTTTTTGAACGAGCCAGGCAGTGGTGGTGCACGCCTTTAATCCCAGCACTTGGGCGGCAGAGGCAGGCAGATCTCTGTGAGTTCAAGACTAGGCTGGTCTACAAGAGCTAGTTACAGGACAGGCTCCAAAGCTACAGAGAAACCCTGTCTTAAACCCCGACACACAAAAAAAGGAGAAAGAAAGAAAATCTTTTTGAAGGAGGTGAAAATAGTATTTCCCTTGTTTTAATCACTTTTATCTTTTCTCAGAAAATTTCATAGATGTATACAATGAGATATGGTCATATTCATTCCACCATTTCCTCTATTCAATTCCTTCTAGATCTCTTGTAACATTTCTTCCTCCAGACTTCATGACCTCTTCCTTTTAATAATCCATTGAGTTCAAATGATGCTGCCCATATGTGCCATATCTGCTGGTGTATGGGAAACCTACCTCTTTTTTCTTACTGAAAAAAGAGGTAAAATTTGGAGAGATCGTCTCTCATCTAAAGTGGAGATTTTGTGGTCTTGATGTTGCACAGGTTTTGTCCCTTGCCATTTTTTTTAATTTCAATCCTTATGCAGTGCACTCTTGGTTTCATTCCTATTATTAAGAGTTAGTTCTAATCTTATTTTCAGTATTTTTTAAAATTTTAACTTCTCTCACAGAAATAGAAATATTCTTTTTCTCTCTCTAAATCTAGTCATCTTTATCTACCTTTAGTGATAGATGAAGAGAAACACACAGTTCACATATTCACAGCCCAACATGTTATCAAACCCTGGACCTCTCATGAAAAAATTCACCTTCTGCTTAGTATTTAGGCGATTTTCCTTCATTCTTTCCACAAAGTTTTTAAAAAATGCTATTGAATCCTTAGAGAACACAGAGATATTTAACCTCTCATATATTGGAATGAGGACTGGAAAGAGTGCTGAAAAAGAAAGATAAAAAACAAGTTTTAGTGGAGATGCAAGTTTCATTTGGAGAAATAACAAAGCAATCCAAAGAATAAGTCACCAGGGTCTTAACCAACCAAAGTCTCTCTGTGACCTTGCTCATACTGGATCACCATCATAATGCTTTTTCTGCACTTCTGCAATCAAAGGAACAAATCTGACTATTGGATTTAACTCTGCTCCTGTAGTTTGTGTGGATTCAAAATACAGACATGGCCATTGAGATAGTCCAACAGCTAAAGGGTCCTGCAGATGAGCCTAACATCCTGAATTTGAAAACTTACCATACGCTGTAGAAGGAGAGAATGAACTACTGTGAGTTGTGTTCTAATCTGCACCTTCCACAAAACACCAAAGCACATGTGCGCAACACAGACAATAAATCAATAAATTTCTTTTTAAACTAGTAAGTCAATCAATCAGTGAATAAATAAATAAATAAATAAATAAATAAATAAATAAATAAATAGTAAAGAAAGAATAGCCAAGATAGCATTTGTTTCTCAACTGGTGTGATATAAACAAAACAAGTACCAGAAAGGCTATTTGGAAAGTCAGAGGTTTGTGCATATTGACAATACACTCTTACTAAGTAACCAATAGGTCAAAGAACCCCAGAAGGATATGGGAAAAATTGTTGAGATGTAGTTTCATGGTTGAGTACTTTCCTAGCATGCATGAGATCTTGGAATCCACTCCAATCATCAAAAAAATGGAAAATGTCTTGAGTATGAACTGAAGATAAACCAAGATCATGAAGAGAAAAGGCACAGGGAGGCTTATGTTGTGGGATAATCTTTTTGTACACTGTGAAGATGTGTTTCTGTAAAGGACCTTCTGATTGATTTAACAAACAGCAGAATGGACAATAACTAGGCAGGAGAGAACAGGTAGGACTTGCAAGAAGAGAGAGGCACTTTGGGAAGAAGAGAGTTGTAATTCGCCAGACAGATTGGGCTAGGTAATAGGAATGGAGTGTCAGATGTACATAAGGAGTAAAGGTAATGAACCACATGATAGAACATTGATTAATAGAAATAGGTTAATTTAAGCTATAAGAGCTAGTGGAAGCCAGGTGGTGGTAGCACAGGCCTTTAATCCAAGCACTCTATGAGTTTGAGGCCAGCCTGGTCTACAAGAGCTAGGTTCAGGACAAGCACAAAAGCTACCAAGAAACCCTGACTTGAAAAAACAAACAAAAAATAGCTAGTTGGTAACAAGTTTGAACTAAGACCAAGCTTTTATAATTAATAAAAAAATCTCTGTGGCTTACAACCTGTATTTATAAAATTTCAAAAAACCAAACTTTACAGCATCAAGTTCAATTTTAAAACAACTAGCTCCAGGGCAGGAGAGATGTCTGATAAAATACTTTCCGTGCATGCACAAGACCTGAATTCAGTAACCAGAACTCTTGTAAAGGCAATCTCAAAGACAGGTGACCCAAACTCAGAAATAAAGGAAAATCACATGATCTCCCCTCACTTCCAGAGTCTAGCCTATAATAAATAGATGAAAATATGTGAACAGGTGTGAGTGTGGATATGGGATAATGCTCAAAAGGAGACCAGGAGAGGATGATATTAGGTGTTAAGGAAGGGTGGAATGTAGGTAAAAGGACACATGAGCTATGGATGAAAACATAATTGACAGATAAAGTATTAAACACTAAATGAAGCACCACTGCTAACTGCACCCAAAACATACACAAAAATACTACAGGGACTGGAGAGATGGCTCCGATGTTAACACTGGTGCTCTACAGAGGACCCAGGTTTGATTCCCAGAACCCAGTATGTCCAGGTAAAATACCCATACACATAAAATAAAAATAAATAAATCTTTAAAAAATGTTAAAGCAATTCAATTATGTAAGAGAGATGATCTAAAAGCAAAGACTAAGACATCTAGCTTAGTTTCTTAATTGCATTAGGACCAGGGAAATTTTAATCAAAACCACAGGTTCAGCCTGCAGCATGTTCACTAAGTGGCAATGATAAAAGTCATGGGAGATCCAAGTGTTGAGTGAAACATAGAGAATCTGAAATTCTTCTGCATTTCAAGACATAGAAAATGCCATAGCAACTATAGAAAATGAATGCTCAGTTGTTTAATATGATAAAAATGGGGTTACTTTGTAACTCAGAAACAACAATTCTGAACATATAATCCCAAACAAAAAAAACAAATATTCAAATATAACCTTGTATGAAAATTCTCATAGCAACAAAATTCATAGCAAACACGTAAAACTAACTTCAGTCCATCAACTAAAATGAAATATTAATTGTTCATAGACATAGAAGACAGTAATGCTTACTTCCTTTAATAATGTGCTGAATGACAGAGGCCTGTCACAGAGATAACATAGTCTATGAGCCCATTGATAGGAAATAATCAGAATATGTAAATATAGAAAAAGTGAATTGGTGGTTGCTTAGGTAAAGGCTGTTTGAAGGATGATGGTGCAAGTGTGCAGCATGGCTAGAACAAAGTCCTCTGCAGTTGACATTGGTAACTGGCCATGTAGATCATCAGTCAATGCAAAGTCCTAAGTAGGCAAAGTGTTGGGAATAATTGATTGTTGAGTGCTGAACACTGCATGGAGTATCTGTATCAACACCCTTATCACTACAAGCTCAAGGAACATCATGAAATTAGATGTGGGAGTAAAGTAAGAGGCAGGGAGTAGTGACGTAACATGTCATATCCAGGATGAGGCATGGCCCACTTTTGAACTGACCACCTGCATGAGATTATGCCAATAATATTGGTCAACATCCTAGCAGGCAGAACTCTTTGGATTCAGTGGGTGACAAAAAAGTTGGGGGGACAAAGTTGAGTAAAAGATATCTTGGTGTTTGTAAGGCAAGTGGGAGGTGAGAGTTAGGGGTGGGTATAATCAAGACACTATCAAAGGCTAAATAAAATAATTCCAAATCAAAGCCAGGAATTGTGGCTTACACCTTTAATTTCAGTACTCAGGAGGCAAAAGTATGGAGATCATTGTGAGTTCAAGGCCAGCCTGGTCTATACAGCAACTTCCAGGACAGTTAGAGCTATAAAGAGAGACCTTGTCTAAAAGAAATATGAATATTGAAAACAAGTAGGGGAGTATATGTCATTGAATGCACTGAACCTATTGGATAGTGCCTTTAAGTACAATCTAACAAGATAGTAAATTACATGTTAGGTGAATTATATACCAATAAAGTTGCTACTTTCGATAAGTGTGGAAGAGAAGAAAGAGCTGACAAGCATGGTCACACATAAGATCAGTGGGTCAAAAGGCAGAAGAACCATCATACATACCTACTGACATGAGTAATGGCTTAAAAAAATCAAATCTTATTAAATTCTTGTTTTTTTCCACAAAAGGGTCCTTTGGGTTGTTGAGGGAATCAACATTCACACCAAATGTCGCACTCGTGATGACATCCATACTGTAGGCCCCAAACACTCTGAGGAGGTAAAGACATAGACATTTAACGCATGCAAGAAGAAGCCTGAAATAATTCATAATCTCAGCCAAGACAGCCTAAACCACCTCAGTATTGATCAAGCACCTTCCCATCCTACCCACTCTTTATCCTTGTGACCTTGATACTATCATCTTTCTTTCTCAGCTGTACATTTTGTCATCTACTGTCTAAAAGGGAAGAAGGAGCAGCTGGACATATAGGACACACAGAAGGATGACCCTTCTTCCCCTGCTGCCCTTCCTCTCCCAGAACCACAGTGAATGTCCCACTACTCACTCTTTCATGTTGAGAGGCTTGCCTTTCTCTGCCTCTTTTCTCAAGTATTTTACCAAAATATCTCCGTACTCTTCAATGATGAGGAACATCTAAGCACAAAACACAAAGGCATCCATGGTTGTTAGGTGTGGAGACTCAGGTCACACAAACATTTCAATTAATTGTCCTTTTAGTCACCTCTTTGAGTTTTCCAGGGGTGAAGGCTGGAGACAGCAAGGCTCGAATTCTCTTCCACTCCTCATCCTTAGATAAGTTGATGGATTTACTGATTATTCCCACTGGGCCAAATTTCTAGTGTCCAAAAAATACAAATATTGCTTTCTGAATTCCAGAACTGTCCATGGTTATAAAGTGTTAATTACACATTGGTGTTAGCAAGTAGTTGCTGACTGTGTAGTATGATCAGGCATCATGCTAGATGTAAGAAAAGTAAGAACTTTCTCACAACCTGTAAGAAATCAGGTGATAAACAAGCAGTGGTGGTGCACACCTTTAATCCCAGCACTCAGGAGGCAGAGGAAAGAGGATCTTTGTGAGTTCAAAACCAGCCTGATCTACAGAGTGATTTCCAGGACAGGTTTCAAAGCTACACAGAGAAATACTGCTTGAACCTGGCTCCACCCCCCCCCCAAAAAAAGTCAAGTGCTCACTAGGATGCCTGCTGAGCTTTTAAACTTTTTTATTCCAGGATACTTCTAAATCCAGATCTCTGTAATTGAAAAATTAGTTCCATGGGTGGGGTAGAAGATAGGAAATAGAAGATTCTCCATTGCTATGCATATGGCAAATGACTTAGGGATAGATAGAAAGCTAACATTGCATCATACAAGTTCTCCAGTCTGTATTTATAACATAAGCAATGTGAAAAAGGATGTCTTGATATGGTGTGTACACATGTATGTGTATGTATTTGTGTGTGTGTGTGTGTGTGTGTGTGTGTGTGTGTGGACTAGAATGATGGTGCAAATATTCATTTGGAGACCAGAGGTCTGACATCTTCCTCTGTAACCCTCTTCTGCATTTTTTGTGGCAGGTTCTAATTGAAACTAGAAGGTACTGGTTTGGCTAGAGAATCTAGTCAGCATGCCACTAGGATCTACCTGTTTCCAAATACTGTTCTGAAGCAACACATGCCTGCTGCCATGCTCAGCTTTTGTGTAGATTCTGGGGATGCAAACTTGGGTCCTTTACCCACTGAGTCATCTCCCTAGGCCAGAGATACTTAAAGGATTTGATGCTTGAGTTTTTCAAAATTTATTTTAGTACTGTATGTACGTATGTGTGGTATGTATGTATGTTGTATATGTGTATGCATGTATGTATGTGTGTATATTATGTGTGTATGACTGTATGCACATGTATGTTTAGTGCATTCATAGGTCAGAGGAGGGAGTTGGATCTTCAAAAGCAGGAGTTATAGGTGGTTGTGAGACACTGGATGCAGATATAGGCAAACAATTCCCCATCCTCTTTCAGAGCTTTCAGCCACTAAACCATCTCTGTATCCCCTGGTCTGTTTAGGTTGAGAGTTTGCTGTAAGTTTAGGGATAATGCTGTAGAAATCATTTTTCCCTAATTTTTTATCAGGTCAATGGACAACTCTGTATTATGAATGTTTGTCATCACACAAATCTAGATCTGTGATAAACCATACTGATCCACACAGACATAAGAAAGGACCCACAAAACAGGAAATATAGATGACCCTGCATGTATATTATTGTGGAAACCACATAAATCTATATTTATTTCATTTTTAAATTTAGTAAGTAGTCAAGAGGTGGCAATTCATGTACTTAATCCCATCACTCAAAAGGCAGAGTCAGGCAGATCTCTGTGAGTTCAAAGATCACCTGGTCTACAGTGTGAATTCCAGGGCAGTCAGGATTACACAGAGAAACCCTGTCTCTGAAAAACCAAAATAAACAACCAAAATAAATTCAATAAGAAAAATATACTGTTTTGGATTATTAAAAGGGGGAGGCTTGGGTGATAGTTCAACAGTTTAGGGTACTTGTTGATCTTCTGGAGAAGACAGGTTTAGTTCCAATCATTCATATCAGACCCCTCCAACTGCTTGGAACACCAGCTTCAGGGGATCCCATCCCTTTTCTGGACTCCATAGGAAACTACACACATATAGCATTCACTCATATACATATTCAATCACACACACACACACACACACACACACACACACACACATATATATATATATATATATACATAACAAGAATAAATACTTAATTTTTTTTAAATTTAAAAACATTACCTACCCGTCGGTTTGTGAACACAGAATAACATTCCTTCACTAGTATATTCTTCATCATCTCTGTGTCTGTGATAGCTAACACAGGTGTCTGACCATCAAACAACCTGTGTGGGGAAAACAGCTGATTAAACGATCAGGTTATGAAGGGGGAACCCCAAATCCACACTTTGACTCCAATGTTACATGACTTTCACTCTGATTATACAACATGTTGTCACAAGAGTTCCCAGTCCAACTTAGAGAGTCTGACCACAGATCAATGAGTCTTTGTAAAGTGACAGATGAGGTCATACAATAAACAAGTCACTTAAAGACAAAAGAGTTCATAGTGGGAATCTAATAGAGTCATTGTATCTTGGATAAACATTTGAACAAAAAAGTTGTTTCTCACTGTAGGTAAGGCAATGGTAGAATGCATTAGTTTTTTATTGAAGGTTCCAAGACCTTGACGATATCATACTAGAGAACAGTGATTATTTTCTATGACTTTATAGAGCAGTTTTTCTGAAGGTTTTTTTTTTAATCTGTTACATGACTGTAATCACAATACTATCCAGGCCCGCTTAGAGGCCTTGAGTTATTGGGTAATGCATACAGTGCACAATAAGTACTGAAGTTGCAGGGGTGTAATGATTTCTTTCAGAGAACATATAGAATATATTACAGGGGCTTTAATATGAAGAACTTGTTATACCACAAATACAACCTTTGTGCACAATAGGTAAATATGTTTATGAATACAGAAGCTTTGCCTGCTGCCAAGGAGCCTATAATTAAACTCTCTAGTGACTTTCCTCATTTGAATGTCATGCACAATACAAAAACCCATCATCAGCCCGGAGTCTTTCTGAAAAGCCATTGACAATGACACTGGGACTTGTTTCCTCTGAATATACTGGATTTTTGGGATCCAGTCTGTTTGGATACTCACATTCCTGGACCTGGAGGGAGGGGGGAGGAACTTGTTCGTCCCACAGGGCAGGAAACCCTGACTGCTCTTAGGGATGGAGAGGGAGGAGGAGAGGGAGTGGGGGGAGTGGGAGGGTGTTGGGAGGAGGGGCAGAAATGGAAACTTTTATAATTTAATAAAATTACTTTCTCATAAAAAAGAAAACTATGATTACTGTTAATATTTCAGTGAAATAAATACATACAAAGTCACTGAAAAACAACCATCATCAGCCTGCCTCCCCCAAGCCTGCCCTATTGTCTGTGAGATCCTTGGCCCAGGAACAGTTCTTGCGCCGGCACTGAGGCTTTCCACACAGAGAGGTGAGAGTCTACCCATCTGGCCAAGGCCCCCAGAAGGGAGTGCAAGGCACCTCCTGCTCTTTTTGCAGGAGCTCTTTGTTCCACACCACCCTGACCTTCCCTCAAGTTCATCCTTTTGTCTGCGGAATCCTTGGACTACCAGGTGTCCCTGTTCCTGTGCTGAAGAGATCAAATCAGACTGGTGAGTGTGTGCAATCCCTGGACAGACAGACAGGGAAGGGAGCACAGGGCCCCTCCAGCTCCTGCTGCAGGGACTTTTTTGCTTCACAGGACACTGCCTCCTCCAAGCCTGCCATATTGTCTGCAAGATATTTGGTCAAGGAACATTTCCTGCTCCTGCACTGAGGCTGTCTTCCAGAGGGGAACATTTCCTGCTCCTGCACTGAGGAAATCCACCCTGAGTGTCAGCCACAGAACAGATTGGACAAAGATGCCAAGACTCTCCTGGCTGCACTGGAAGGAAGAGATGGGAGGTGCCAATGCAAGAATTCCTCAAACAAGCTGAAAGGCAACATGACAACACCGGATTCCAGGGATCACAAAACAAGAAGACTTGAACACGCTATTCTAGAAGAAGTAGAAGAAATTGACTTTAAACGTAACATTATGAAAATAATAGAGGACCATACTTAAACAGGATTTTTAAAACTGCTTTAAAGAAACAGAGAAGACAAACAAAAGAGTAGAAGAAATGAATAAATCTCTCAAAGATATCCAAGAAAATCAAGAAAAAGTAATCAAACAGGTAATGCAAACAGTTTAAGATTTGAAAAAAGAAATGGGGGCAAAGAAGAAAGCACAAACTGAGGTAAGGTTGGATATGAAAAATCTGAGTAAAAAAACAGAAACTACGGAAACAAGTATAACCAACAGAATAAAAGAGACAGAAGAAAGATTCTCAGACACTGAAGATACTATAGAGGAAATAAACTCATTGATTAAAGAACAAAACAAATTCAACAAATTCTTAACACAAAACATCCAGGAAATCTGGGACACCGTGAAAAGCCCAAACCTAAGAATAATAGGGGTAGAAGAAAGAGAAGAATTACAGCTCAAAGGCCCAGAAAATATATACAAAAATTTATAGAAGAAAACTTTCCCAACCTAAAGAAGGATAATCCTATAAAGGTACAAGAAGCATACAGAATACCAAATAGACTGGATAAAAAACCCATCCCTTTGCCATATAATAATCAAACCACAAAACATACAGAATGAAGAATGAATATTAAGAGCTGCAAGAGAAAAAGGTCAAGTAACATATAAAGGGAAACCTATATGAATTAACCTGACTTCTCAATGGAAACCATGAAAGCCAGAAGGTCTTATATAGATGTGCTGCAGAAAATAAGAGACCACGGATGCAGGCCCAGACTACTATACCCAGCAAAGCTTTCATTCACCAGTGATGGGGAAAACAAGATATTCCAGGACAAAAACAGATTTAAACAATACGTAGCTACAAACCAAGACTTACAGAAAATAATAGAGGGAAAATCACAAACCAAGGAAGCCAACAACACCCATAATAACACAAGTATCTGACAACCATCCACCAGCACAACTCAAAGAAGGGAAACACACAAACACTACCAGAAAAAAAATAACCGGAGTTAACAACCACTGGTCATTAGTATCACTTAATATCAATGGACTAAATTTACCTATATAAAGGCATGGGTTAAAAGAATATATTTGAAAAGAGAATCCAACATTATGCTGTTTAAAAGAAACACACCTCAAACTCAAAGACAGACAGACACTACCTTAGGGTCAAGGGTTGGGAAAAGATTTTCCAATAAAATGGACCAAGAAAACAAATGGGTGTGGCTATACTAAGATCAAACAAAATTGATTTCAAACTAAAAGCAATCAAAGAGATGGAGAAGGACACTTTATATTCATAACAGAAACAATTTATCAGGAGGAAGTCTCAATCCTGAATATCTCTGCCTCTAATATAAAAGCACCAACATATATAAAAAAACATTATTATAACTCAAAGCATGCATCAAACCCCACACTCTAATAATGGGTGATTTCAACACTCCTCTCTCACCAATGGACAGGTCAACCAGACAGAAACGTAACAGAGAAATAAGAGACCTAACAGATATAATGAACTAAATGGACTCAACAGACATCTATATAGCATTCCACCCAAACAGAAAAGAATATACCTTCTACTCAGCATCTCATGGAACCTTCTCAAAAATTGATCACATAATTGGTAACAAAAAAAATCCATAGATACAAATTAATTGTAGTAATCACCTGTGTACTATCGGATTACCATGGAATGAAGTTAGAATTCAACAACAGTTCTACCCCCAGACAGCCTACAAACTCATGGAAACTGAACAGTCAACTACTGAACCATCCCTGGTTCAAGGAAAAAATAACGAAAGAAATTAATGTCTTCCTTGAATTCAATAAAAATAAGGAGACATAATACCCAAACCTATGGGACACTATGAAAGCAGTGTTAATAGGAAAGTTCATAGCAGTAAGTGCCAAGATAAAGAAAATGGAGAAAGCACACATTAGAGACTTAACAGCACACCTGAAAGCTCTACAAAAAAGAAGACTCACTCAGGAGAAGTAGAAGACTGAAAATTATCAAACTGAGGACTGAAATCAACAAAATAAAAACAAAGAAAACAATCCAAAGAATCATTGAAAAAAAAAAAGCTGGTTCCTGGAGAAAATCAACAATATTGACAAAGCCCTAGCCAAACTAATCAAAAGACAGAGAGATAACATGCAAATTAACAAGATCAGAAATGACAAGGGGGATATAACCACAGACACAGAGGAAATTCAGAGAATCATTTGATCTTACTACAAAAGCCTGTATGCCACAAAATTGAAAAATGTGAAAGAAACAGACACTTTTTAGATAAGTACCATATACCAAAATGAAATCAAGACTAAGTGAACAATTTAAATAGACCAATACTTCACGGGGAATTAGAAGCTGTCATCAGAAACTACCTAACCATAAGAAAGCCCTGGACCAGATGGTTTCAATGCAGAATTCTACCAGAACTTCCAAGAAGAGCTAATACCTATACCCCTTAATGTGTTTCACAAAATAGAAACAGAAGAGTCATCGCCAAACTCCTTTTATGAAGCTACAATTATCCTGATATCAAAATCACACAAAGACTTAACCAAGAAAGAGAATTACAGACCAATATCACTCATGAACATTGATGCAAAAATTCTCAATAAAATCCTGGCAAACTGAATCAAAGAACAAATCCCAAAAAATATACATAATGATTAAGTAAGCTTCATCCCAGAGATGCAGGGCTGGTTCAACATACAAAAATCTATCAATGTAATCCATCATATAAATAAACTGAAAGAAAAAAACCTTATGATCATTTCTTTAGATGCTGATAAAGCATTTGACAAAATTCAATGTCCCTTTATGATAAAGGCCTTGGAGAGATTAGGGATACAAGGTTCATTCCTAAATATAATAAAAGCAATATACAGCAAGTTGACAGCTAACATCAAATTAAATGGAGAAAAACTCAAAGCCATTCCACTAAAATCAGGAACAAGGCAAGGCTGTTCACTCTCACCATGCCTATTCAATATAGTGCTTGAAGTTCTAGGAAAAGCAATAAGACAGCATAAGGTGATCACGGGGATTCAAATTGGAAAGGAAGAAGTCAAATTTTCATTATTTGAAGATGATATGATAGTGTACATAAGCAACCCCAAAAACTCTACCAGAGAACTCCTACAGCTGATCAACACCTTTAGTACTGTGACAGGATATAAGGTCAACCCCCCAAAATTAGTTGTCCTCTTATGT